AAATCTTTAAAAAGAAAAAGAAGTGATATTGACATAACCTACAAAGTATAAAACTGTGAAAATGAAATCAAAGACATTGAAATCCTACTCTCTTTTTTAATATTGTATTTGTACGTTTATTTGAGAGGCAGTGAGAAATAGAGCTTTAAAAGGCTAGTTAGCCCCCGCCACGCCGCGATGACTGAGCTTGCTTCTCACGCGTGGGTGGAAGAGACCCTAACACTTGTCCTGCTGCTTCCCAAGCCGGACAGAGGCGGGAAGCTGGAATAGTGAGCAGATCTGGTATCAAACTTAGAAACGCTGGGATGTTACCCGCTGCAATGCTGAACGCCTGCCTCTCCATGCCAACAAATCTGACATAAAAGGTTTACCGCTCTTTTAAGAAAAGTGTTTTTAAAACACTTGGAATGTGAGACACTGAGGTCCTCTTCCAAGGAGTTGGTTAAGAAGGCAGCAACAGTTCAAAGGCAGCAACGGTTCTCTCTGCAAACCACCAGCGATGTTTTAAATGCACGACAGTCTGAGACAGGATTAGCGGGAAGCTGCTGTCACCTGTAGACCAGGTCTTTGTGAAACATTTATACTACAGCAAAGTAAAAATGTGTCTTATAAAGAGAATAGTGTATCATCGAGGAACATGCAGAATGAGAACACAAGGTGCCTCCATGTCAGAGTTGCAGGGCGTGGAATCTGACAGGTAACTCACTCAAGCATGGCCACGGGCGTGGTTAGGCTGACTGCACGTCGGATCACCTCATTTTAAACAAACGGTCCATTCTACTCTATCAGGAGGCAATGTCCGACTGTATTTGCCTTTTTTTTTTTTTCATAAATTTGAACAGGTCAAAGAATCGCAGTCAGGATGGGCGTGCTTTGCCCACAATATGTTTTCACACAGAACATTCTGAATCGAGGCAAATGACACACCATGACAACAGAAGATGCTGCTAAAAATAAATGCCATTTAGCCAGCTACATGTGTCAGTCTCATTACAAGCTTTGGCCATGAATTAGTTTTTAAAATTCTAAAATATTTGCTTCGTGGATGACAGGGATGAGACCGAAGCGGAATTTGCAGCAGGGTGATTGTATGCTGTTCTTCAAACAGGAAACCGCTGGCAATTCCAGTGTGAAGTCATTTTCTATTTTTAAAATAATTGAATCTGGGACATAACTATTAGAGTGACAGTCTCACAGGGCACAAAGGATGAATAAATGGGTCTGAAACGCAGGCTAATGGAGCAACGCTCCTCAGAATTACATATGCATCATGTCCTGCTCTCAGGACTTCCAGTTCCATTCAGCCTATTGGCTTCTGGCCATTTCCTGGAAGGTATTTCCAATTCTGACACGTCCCTAACAGAATCCACGCTGTGAGCACTTGATCCTTTAGAAGGCAGGCGCTTTCTATGGCAGCCCTGGCTTGCATGAGTACATCTGCTCGCAGATGTATTTATGACTGAGGAAACATATTAATAACCATATTTAGTCCATAATAGAGAAAATGCCCATAAACACCGCACAGAAACAGGGCCAAGCAGAACCTTCTTTCTGATGAAGATTACATGTGATAAACACATCACACAACTTCTCTGAACCTCCACTGTTCTCATTTAACAAATGTTATGTAAAATTAGGTGTTGTTTGGAGCCTTTTAAGTTGTGTCTCTCATATTTACTATTTCACAGATATCTTTTTTTTGCACTAAGTAAGAACTGATGAAAAAAGTCTAAATAAAGAAAATATTCTTAGAGGCGGAGTGGTCTGGATGCCAGTTCAGACACTCCCTCTGCACCCGGCAGCGGCTGAGCTCACTCTCTGGCTCAGGCTTTTGCTAACGCAGGCTCCAGGAGGCTGTGCTGATGGCAGGAGCAGCTGGGTTGCCTTGGGACCCTGAACCCACGGGGGAGACCTGGAAGAGGCTCCGGGCTCCTGGCTTCAGATCAGCACAGCACTGGCTGTGAGTGCAGGGTCCCAGGGCTTTGGGCCATCCTCGACTGCTTTCCCAGGACACAAGGAGGGAGCTGGATGGGAAGTAGAGCCACTGGAACACAAACCAGCAGCCCATATAGGTTCCTGGTACATGCAAGTGAGGATTTGAGCCACTAGGCTACTGAACTGGGCCCCAGCAATGGCTACACAGTCTCATGGCTGATCAAAACTCACTGAATAAAAAATAAACCTTAATGCATGCAATTAAAAAAAAATCACTTAGGAGGTCAAGAGTTTCCAGTAAAGAAGTCATACTGTGACATGGCACTAGAATTATACCGTAACCTCACGGGGGTGGGGGGAAGACATGCTGACCTAAGTAGTTTTGGAAATAAGTAGAGTCTGTAAGATAAAGGGCAGAAGCAAACACAAGGTAAGTGCTGTTGATTAAGCTTTTCTCCCGCAGCAGCACAGGTTCACCAATCTGCAAATCCTAGAAACCAACAATGCAGCAAAGGAGAGGGGTCAGAGGGAGCCACATTCCTCCATCAGGCCCACCAGGAGTTTTTACACACCACGTGTGAATGCGCACATTACCCCAGACACATACATCTCCTTGCTCGGTTGTTTTAAAGGACCTAAAAGTCTATACATCCCGGAAGTAATGCTCATACTTTCTATCCAGATATTAGTTCTTGATCCGTTCTCCAATAAAACAAAATGGAGTTCTCTATAGCAGTGCCTGATTGGAGTCCAGTACATTAGCCTAGTGGCTAAAGTCCTTGCCTTGCACACACCAGGATCCCACATGGGCGCCAGTTCACATTTTGGATCCTCCGCTTCCCATCCAGCTCCTCGCTCGTGGACTGGGAAAGCAGTAGAGGACAGCCCAGTGCCTTGGGTCTGTACTCCTTGTGACTACACTCCCGGCTCCTGGCACCTGGCTTCGGATTGACTCAGCTCTGGCCAGTGCGGCCATGTGGGGAGTGAACCAGTGGACAGACGATCTTGCTCGCTGTCTCTCCTCCTCTCTGTATATGTGACTTTTTAATAAATAAATACATATTTAGAAAGAAAAAGAGGAAATAGTGGTTGATTGTAAAACTACAGCAAGAAAGATGTAAAGTGATTTTGGAGTAACTTGTAGTGCTAGGAAATAAGGAAATACTAAACAAAATGGAAGAAAACACACCCACACTGACACAGACATGAAAAAATGTACCAGAGTCCCCAGTGACCAAACGCGGAATGGTAAATCAGCACCTGAACAGATCCCAAAGTATAAAACAAATACCTAAGAGCTCATACTAACACTCACATGAGCGACTGACCAGAATACCACAGGGAAGACAGGCAAATCTCCAGGCAAAAGATTCCCAGATCCTGTTGTAGACTGCCCATCCTCAAAGGGACGGGGCATGACCCCACGGCTGGGGCCTGGGCCGCACAAGCAGACTTCCTTTCAAAGGGGAGCAAAGAACAGCTCCGCAGTGGGTAAGTCTGACCATCATCGCCCATGCCAGCTGATGAGGCCAGAAGCAACAGCCCTAAGTGTGTGGACCGTACGCGCTGTAGATGGCATGTGCAGGAGGACACCTGAGCTGGACAATCGTCCTCGCGAAGCTGAAAGTTTCATCACGAGAAAAGGGCCAGGCAAATTCAGCAAGGACTTCCCACAACATGCATGTAGCTGGTGAATGTCTGAAATATTGTCACAATGGTCAAGAAGAGTCTAAAAAAATTTAGTATACTGTGTGGATGCCAGAACATAAAAAGAACTCTAGGCAAAACCAAGGACATATTGTTATTAACAACATCAGTCCATTAATTGTAACAAAAGTGCCATGCTAGCATCAGATGTGAAAAATAGAAAAAAAAATGTGTGGGGGGTTATATGAGAATATACCATGTGAACTCTGCAATTTTCCTATAGAATTTCTCTAAAAAATAAAGTCCGTTGGAGCTGGTGGTGTGGCACATGGAGTTAACAGCATTCCATATCAGAGTGTCCCTCTGTCATTCTGCCTTGCAAATCAATCTCTTTAAATATTTTATTAAGAAAGGTCTAAAAAGTAGGATGAAAGTTTCAGGACTCCACAGAAAGCACCAAGATCCACTCCTTAGTCCTGCTTCTCCTAATTAGCTCTCACATTGGCTCCGTACGTTCCCGACTCCCGCGTGGGTTTAAGGCAGCCTCAGGCTCAAACCCTCACTACCCCACAGCAGGAGTTTCTCTTGCTGCAGCATAGATCTTCTGTTCGAGTCCCGTTGGTCTCGTTTGGCATGACACGAGTCACTCTTCAGGAAAAACAACGTGTGTTCAGCTTAGTCTAGGTCATGGGTTCCAACTGTCATGAGTCAGTGCAGGGCAGAATTCTCACTACCCTCAGCAAGAATACGCTAAGGAAGAGACAGGATGATTGCCTGGGAGCCGAGAGAACACCAGAGCAGTGGATGAGAATGGAGCAAAACCAACCACGTGGGTGCACCAAACACACATGCTCACTTCTCTGTAACAGCATGAAGTAGGCTCATGGTGGGAAAACAAAGGGAAAGAAGATAAAGTTTTATGTCTATCTTAGGGATATATATAATTAGCCACGATCTATTAATTAGTCATAATCTATGGTAGTATCTTACACACAATCTATTTTCTAAGTTTTTATTACAATTCAACACACACACACACTGCCCAAATCTTACAAAGCCAACTGAAAAACCAAAGCACAAACCTATCACATGACTAGGTTTCTTGCTCAAATTTGTATTGAGAAAACACACTTATAAATACATGAGACAAATCAATAATATTCATCGGAAGTGTACTGTTAACATCAAAGCAAATCTCCCATGAATGTGATGCTACAAAAGTTTCCCCGTGGAAGCTCAGACACAGCAACAACCGTTGTTAAAGATGCATCTATAAATACTAGGTGTGTACAGCTGGGTGAGCAAATAATTAGCAGTACCATGTAAATCGTCCTGTCCTAGTACACCCAGTGTGCATCATCTGGGGGAAGGATAGAGACAGTGCCAACCCTGAGCGCCCACAAAAGCTCTTTGTTTACCTGTGGCAATCATCCGTTTCCCGACGGTTGCGGAAAGTGGCTCGCGGTAGAATACAGATGCCATGCCTGACGTCCACGAGGCCGCTGGAATTTCTTTCCCCGACCTTTTCCAGCCAACTGCTGAGAGAAGAACAAAGGTATAAAAACTGTGCAATCCCTGGTCTACCTGTCTGTGACCTGAGCTAGCAGGTTGCTATGGACTCGTTGCTATGACAGGGCTAGAGTGTTCCACATGACAGGGTTCCGTAGCAAAGCCTCCAGCAACAGGACGTGTCAGGACACTGGAGCATCCCCAGGGTCACACCCCGTGACAACTTTCCCTTACCCGCCAACACCGGATGCTTGCAGGTGCTCGATCTCCAACAATGCCTTCCAGCCCAGATAGCCAAGCACAGCACACACAACTGACGTCTCGCATCCCCTAACTCAAACGCGAGATTACATTGCTAAAGGAACGTGATCAGTGCACACATATTTCTTCCAAGCCTCCTAGTCTAAGACTTCCTTATACGCAAGTTGTGCTTTGGTCCAGTCAGGTTATTTGTGGTTGGCAACTTAAGTCCACTTTCATGCTTCTGAGCCTTTACATGCATAATCCACTCTCCTTTTATCATTTTAAAAAATTTTTATGTGTATTTGAAAGGCAGACTTACAGAGAGGAGGAGAGAGAGAGAGGGAAAGATCTTCTATCTGCTGATTCACAACTCAAGCCGGCAACAGCCTGATCTGAGCTAATCCAGAGCCAGGAGCCAGAAACTTCTTCTGGGTCTTCCATGTGGGTACAGGGTCCCAAGGCTTTGGGTCGCCCTCCACTGCTTTCCCACACCACAGGCATGGAGCTGGATGGGAAGTGGAGGAGCTGGGAATGGAACTGGTGCCTGTGTGAGATGTTGGTGCTTGAAAGTGGGGTGTTAGTCAGTTGAGCTATCATACTGGTCCCAGCATTGTTTTTTGTTTGTTCATTTGTTTTTAAAGATTAATTTATTTTAATTGAAACGGTAGACTTACAGAGAAGAGAGACAGAAAGATCTTCTGTCCACTGGCTTATTCCCCAAATGACTGCAACGGCCGGAGTTGAGCCAGTTTGGAAGCCAGGAGCCAGGAGCCTCCTTTGAGAGTCCCACATGAGTGCAGGGTCCCAAGGACACAGACCATCCTTCATTGATCTCCCAGATTACAAGCAAGGAGCTGGATGGGAGGTGGAGCATCAGGGATACGAACCGGCGCTCACGTGCGATGCTGGCACTTGTAAGTGGAGGATCAGCCAGCTGAGTCACCATGCTGCCCCACTCTCAGCATTTCTAGGCAAATACTTTTGACCTCTGAGAGCCAATCCAACATTTCCTCTGCTAGGAAGACATTTGCAGATGCAGCTCAGGAACTCCTCCCCTTCACCTCTATGGCATTGTGTTTAGCCCTGTCTTTTTAACTGTTGCCACTTCATGTTGCATTTTCATGTATTTGTTTATTTGAAAGACAGAAGAAGAGAGAGAGATTTCTTGTCCACCAGTTCATTCCTCTAACTGCTGAAACAGCCAGTACTAGACCAATCCCAAGCCAGGAGCTGAAACTCAACCCGGGCCTCCCCTGTGGGTGACAGAGACCCAAATACTTAGGCAACACCGCTGTTTTCCAGAGTGCACCGTGCCAGGAAACCCGGACCCAGCTAGGCACCCTGAAATGGGACAAGGGCATTCCAAAGTAGTATCTAAACCACTGTGCCAAAAACCCATCCTCTCACCACTTCCAGCTCTTTGTCCGTTTGTCTGCCTCCCCACTGGAGTCTGCTTTCTAGAGATTCGTAATAAAACATTTTTATTATTTCAGTTTTCAGAGAGTGATAGGTAACAAACTTACTATCCATCTTTGTGGGACAAATAAATGGTTGAAATGTGTATTCCAGACTTCGCAGAATTGTAATATTAATCATCTGGTAGTCAACTGAATATGAATTCTAATAGCTATTTTGAACACAACAAGTATGAACAGTACGAGCTTTCACAAAGTTTGTAGGAAATAGAACTAAAATATATGCTTATTTTCGCAATGGAAATTTGAAACTCAGGCCTGGCGCAGTAGCCTAGCATCTAAAGTCTTCACCTTGCATGCGCCAGGATCCCATATGGGCGCAGGTTTGTGTTCCAGTGGCCCTGCTTCCCATGCAGCTCCCTGCCTGTGGCCTGGGAAAGCAGTTGAGGACAGCTCAAAGCCTTGGGACCCTGTACTCACATGGGAGACCCGGAAGAAGCTCCAGGTTCCTGGCTTTGGTTCGGCTCAGATCAGGCTGTTGTACACGCTTAGGGAGTAAATCAGCAGATGAAAGATCTTCCTCTCCGTCTCTCTGCCTCTCGTGTGTCTGATTTTCCAATAAAAATAAAATCTTTTTCAAAATTTGAAACTCATATATCGAGTTTTTTCATAGTGAATATTTTCCACGATGCTTTAAAAATCCGTTTGAGAGGCAGAAAGTTAGAGAGTGAGATAGGAAGCTTCCATGCACTTATTCTTGCTGCCCAGCAGCCAGGACCAAGGCAGGAGCCGGGAACTCAAGGCAGGACTTCCAAGGGGTGTCAGGCATCCTGACAACCTAGGTCCACAGCAGCTGCGAGCTCAAGTCAGGAGCAAGACGGTAGATCCAACCAAGCACTGTAGATCCGAGAAGAAGGGTCAACTCCTCGGCCAATTGTCTGACCCCTCCCCATGACCTTTTGCAAATTCCCTTCTACCGAAAAGGCAATACCTTCTGTTTGGTGAGAAGAAAAATAAAAACACCATACTAACTACAGAGAGGATTATCAGCAGAGTGAGCAAAGAGAGGTGACCCTGCAGTGTCATGTCCCTGTCTCCCTAAACATAGCTGCAGGAAGTGCTGTGAGCAGCAGCTCCAGCTGTCAGCTCAGGCAGGGCCTGTTTCGGGTCAAGACAGCTGCCTCTTCCCTTGGAGGTCAAGCCCTTTCCCGTGCAGCCTGTCCGGGTTACTAAGGGAGACGGGGCTTTGGAGCCCGGTCACGTCAACTTCGCCAAGAAAAAATTTTCCACTTGGTTGGCCCAGGCTGTGTTAAGCCCTCCTCACAGTTCCCTTTCCGATTCTTCCCAGTCCCACTGCCCTCCTCCTCTCTGTTCACAGGTGGAGATTCCAAATTGCAATCTTGTGCCTCCAGCCGCCATCCAGAGCAGCCACCTTGGGACAAGAAAAGAGCACAGCTCTGTATGCATCCTGCAAGAGTGCATCTCTCTGCTGCCACTCAACCCTTCCAGCAAGAACTCAAGAGTATTTCTCCATGACTCCTTAAATTCACGGCACCCTGCTGCCAGCTCTGGAGCTCTTCCTTCCCAGCTCCCCTCATCCAGGTTCCTAAGTCAAACACTCTCTAACCCTAGCTGAAAGCGTTTTCCAAAACATCTAAGTCAGAACATTCCTAGTAGGCTGTACTGCCCGTGTCATGTGTGGCTTTAAGGACACAGAAAAGAGAGGGCAGGGAAACTTAAGGGAAGGGAAGTCGTTCTTGGGGACACAAGCAGAAAATAAAGAAAATAAAGGAAGTCTTGGCTTCTGACCAGTAAGGCATCATGGGAAATGGGGGCTTTTGCTTCACCTTCGGAAATGTCACAAAGCTGACACGTCTTAACCGTAGTGGACAACTGTGATGGCAAAAGGCTGGGCGAAAGGGAAAACAAAGCAGAAGAACCAGAGTTAGGACTTCCTGAGACTTCCAAAACTCAGTACAGACTCGGGCTGTTTTGTTTTGCTTCATTCTTTATGAATTTTTAATTTTATCATTCAGTATAGTTTCAAGTAAGATTCTTAAAACAATGGATACTCAAAGAAGTCTTATTTTTTCCTTTTTACCCCTGCACATATGTTCTGCTACATCGTCAGAACAGAATCCCAAAGGTGAAAACGGCCGTATTATTTTGTCTATCTACGTGTATCTGAAAATGACTGCTTGCCCACTTTCTTACAGATTCAACCACAAAGCGGGTGGTGGCCAAACTTTTTAATTTTTACCAATATAATGGAAAAAACCCAGTAAGACAAGTATTTAAATTTCTCTGATAATTAGCATGACTGAGCTTATTGCCATGTTTAAGGGCCTGTTGCCTTATTTGCTATGAACTGTCTAGTCTTATATATTCTTCCATTATGTACTTTCTAGATGCTACATTTTAGATTTATAGATTTATTTATTTGGAAGGCAGTGTGAGAAAAAAGAGTCAATGAGAGAAAGGAAGAGAGAGATGGAGGGAGGGAGGGGAAGAGAGAGAGATCTCTAGCTACTGGTTCATTTTCCAAATGCATACAAAACCCAAGGCCTGGCGAGGTCAAATCCAGCAGCCAAAACCTCCACAGGCATCCTAAACACGCAAACCATCATCCTTTGGCTCCTAGGCACATTAGCAGGAAGCTGAATCAGAAGTACAATGTTAACAGGACTTGAATGTGTGGCAGCTTAGTCTGTTGCACTGTAACTCCGATTCAAATATCCTAACGTTAAAAAATTGGACTGTGGGAAGGCATTTAGTTCGGCAGTTGTGACCCTGCTTAGGATAACCCGCATTCCACACTGGAATGTCTGGGTTTGAGTCCTGGCTTTGCTGCCAATTGCAGCTTTCTACAAATGCACGCCCTGGGAACTAATGGCTGCAGTGCATGGGTCCCCATGAAGCACATGGAAGACCTGGAGTGTAACGCCAGTCCCTGGCTTCACTCTGCTTCTGCCATGGCTGTTGCAGGTGCTCTGGGGAGATCCATGTGTTAGTCTATTCCTCTCTTTCAAATAAAGAAAAATAAGAATAAATCACCATTCCAAAGCAGAACAACAGACACCTAAGTCGTGAATAACAAAGTACGCTCAAGGTAATAATAGTACGATGATGCAGTTAATAGACGTAATGTGTTCCTACAGTCATGGGAACAAAGGAAGGGCTCACCCACGCAACAAGACCCAGGTTCCTTGAGGCTTCAAGTGTAAATCAAGGAATCTGGCTGAAAACAGGAACAGAGCCATGAATTGAACCCAGGCATTCCCGTGTGGGCTGCAGGCATCTTCACCATTAGGCGAACACACATTCCCATGGAGCTGATACTTAATTGTGCTTGAGAGAATGTTAGGATCCAA